ATCTTATGAAAACCACTGTCAGACTCTATAGTTCTACACTGTAGAGATATGACTTTGCATTCAGAAAGAAGGTCAAGGATTTAATTAACGTACTATTGTCTGTGCGTAAAACACGATAACTTTAATTTGGTCAAAAATTTACCAATTAGAAATCATCATGTTTTTCCAATTTGGTAAGTTCCTACTTAGGTACATCCAAAATTTTTAAATATAACATAAGTATATAACTAACTGAAGTCAACCAACAATATATCAATTCGGAATTACTAGATTCTATTTACTAGTGCAAAATATATGGTAAAATACAGCTATATTATGTAGTATAATATAGTATTTAAAGCTAGGGCCATAATGCTCTCGAGTGGCGACCGCATACTGGAAGACACAGCGCGGGCAGATAACCCACAAGGTAGACCGATGACCTCGTGAACGTTGCGGGAATCCGCTGGATGCAAACAACACAACCCTGGTCGTTACGGCATACTTTGGGGAAGGTCTATGTTCAGCAGTGGACATCTTTCGGCAGAAATGATGATGATAATATAAAAATAACAAACCTGTATCGCGGGTGCCATGGACACACATAGACGACCACAAATTACACTCAAACTCACGAGAGAGAAATAAATTGAAGCCATGCAAAAATTTCTTGCGCCCCGGTAATCGAACCCGGAACCTCTGCGTGACAGTCCAACATGGTAACTGTTCGGCCACGAAGGCGCAAGTAGTTAAAATCATGATGATAGCCATAATTGGAAAAAAAAACAAATTACTGAAATATTCACTAATTTCTATGACTAACTATTGCGAAACCAGAAATCTATGAGCGTAACATTTCTATAACGTAGCATTGACCCGTACCGTACCGTATCCGTAAGTAGGCATTACCTAGCCTGACAAAGTAACACTCATAATACTAAATGTTAGTCTAATATTCTCCAAATAATACTTCAGTTATATTTCTGCAATTTAACACTTTCTCAAAGTAATTTTGGCCACGTTTGCGTTTAGAATGCGCGCCACAACGTCGTTACGCTACACTTCAATGACGGGTAATGCTAACGCACAAATAGGCAACGCGGTGCCTAAACAGAGCTCACGACGCTCATGGTACGATTGTGTAAAATTTTATTATCGCCGGAGAACCCCATATGAATAGGGTCTGTGCATTATATTTATATGTCACGCACACATTAATATCGTCAAGATATAATTTTCCATACAATATCAAGTCTGGCCGGATGTGCGAAAGTGGCAATGAAAAACGCATGTATTTTAATGATCATTTTAAATGTACAAAAGCAGCCGGGAGTAAAATCTAAACAGTCATATTTTTTAATGATTGAACAAACTAAGACAAACGAGCAATAAAAATAAAATTTACATACTTATTTTTAAAACTAAGTAAATACTGATTATAATTGTATACTAATATTATATTAATTATAAAATATTTTGACCAGAAAACAATATGTTCGGAAACGCAAGCAAATTGGCTTCTAGCACTCGCCGGCCGTTGCAACGACACGCTTGTTTCGCTCGCTCACTTCTTCATATATTAACTTGACCTAACCTACTGAATGGAAGGCGAAACCAAGCAATCAAGATTTATTAGGAGATCAATATCAAAAATTCATTACATTAATTAGAAACTATATAGACTAAATAAACATTGAATCCCATTAATATTTGCACATCTGCTTGCAGGTTGAATACAATGTACCTAATTTTACTTAAGACCTTTGTAATTACTGTATTCTGGCAAATAAACTTATTCTATTCTATTCTATATTCTATTCTGTTCTTTTCTGTTCCGTTCTGTTCCGTTCTGTTCCGCTCTGTTCCGCTCTGCTCCGCTCTGCTCCGCTCTGCTCCGTCCTGCTCCGCTCTGCTCCGCTCTGCTCCGCTCTGCTCCGCTCCGCTCGGCTCCGCTCGGCTCCGCTCTGCTCTGCTCTGTTTTGTTCTATTCTATTCTATTCTTTTCTATTCTATTATATTCTAAAATATTGGCTAAAATATCATCAACCGTTAAAAGACCAATAATAAAAAAAGAGAATCAAATTTTTGAATATCCGATGTTAATTTAGAATGTTTAAACATAATAATTCGCAAACTCTCTCCATACAATGTTATGTTATGTAATGTTATGTATTCTCAAATGTTTGGAATGATACCTTTTATGACGATTGGAAAAATTTTCTTATTTCAGCTTAAAACGCACGCGAAGTCTGAAAAACATTTGGAGCCTTGTCTCAAACTATACGTATAGGTAGGTTGGTGAAAAACGGAATTTGGTGCAAAATTAAAACAGCCAAAGTTGCGACTTGATATCGAGCGGCATAAAACGCCAAAGCAGAAAGAAATAGGCATATCTTTCAAAGATTGACCGATAGTTTGTTTTGTTAGCTAGGCAGGAATTAGCTTTACGCGGACACGATGAGTCAGAGTCATTTTTAAATAAAGGCAATTACTGAAAATTGGTGGATTTACTATCTAAATATGAAGCTGTTTTGGTAACTAATTTAGAAACTACCAAACCACAAGTAGCGCATTTAGGCACCGGCCTTTCATATGGAACTCAAACTTATTTCATCTCGAACGTCATCTTCTATACTAAGAAGCAAATCAAAGAGTCTGACTTTGTCGTCATCTTTGTGGACGAAACATCCGACGCTAGTAGTCGCGACCAATCAGTTTTCACTCAGTTCAAGAAGTAGATTGTTTCATTAAATACCTATGTATATAAATGTGCGTAGAGTAGCAGTAGAGCTCCTTGTGAAAGAGTTGGTCCAAGTAACTGCTACCTTACCTATTTCTGCCGCCAAGCAATAATGTTAACATTACTGTGTTCCGGTTTTGAAGGGTAAGGGTACTGGAAATTACAAGCACATGGCACTTATGTCTCAGGGTGTCAGGCGCAGTGGCAGTGCCCCTCAGATCTTCGCGATTTAAAGCTCTGAGTTGCTCTGCAACTGCTATGATCAGGCGTATAACTTACTATCAAGCGCACGCCTTGTTCGTCCCGTCACTTGATATTAAAAAAAAGACGGGACGGCAGCAACATTAAGTTCAATATTGTTAAAATTTTAGAGGAATACGATTGCCTCTCAATATTGGTCGCTCTCAAACATATGATGGTGCAAAAGTTTTATCGTCTGACCTTCGTGGTGTGCAAGCTTCAATAACATAAGAAAAATGTCCGCAAGCATTGTATGGCGATTATTACACTGCTCCGCGCTATCCAACAGTTTGCATAGCTGCATTTTTTAACGGTCTGTCGAAATATCTTAATATAATAAGTAGGTTTATTATTGTGATAATATACAGATAAGGTATAATATAAGCTTAAATACTAGGAAGTAAAATTCGGATTTTTAATTTGTATGAATAAAATTGGGTCCCCGCAGCAAGGTGCCCAAGATGCTGGCAGCGTTCTCCTTTGAATGGCTATGCTAATGCGTTAGGCAAGGTAGCTTGCCCTTGGGTTTCCCAGACATATTAATTTTTTAAATAAAATTTTGTACAGATGAAGGGAGGGCACTGGGACTCTAAGTACGTAGTACCTACGACTACCCTAAATAGGTAGTCGGAGCCGAGATCCTGGTACTTATTATGTACCGAAGAAGTATCTTAGTTTGTTAAGAAAACACGCGCAGTGTGATAATGGCCTTAGTCTTTGGTGTTCTATTCATGGTTTTTAAATTGTTTAATTATATTGAAAAAGCTTTTACAATGAATTACGAATAATTTTCAAATACCACTTTGAGTGATCTTGTAAGTGACTTGTTCAAACAATGTCAAAGTGAAAAAGTGTAATTCGTCGAACTGCATAAGCTAAACATCTTTGTCAAAACACAACTAAGTTACCCGCTTGTTTGACTTTGGTAATTGCTTACATTTTTTGCTTTTTTAATAATTTTTTTCTGCTTACCTTTTGTCTTTGTACTTTTTTCCCAAATAATTTAAATTTCTGTGACCCCAACTAAAAACCTTATGCACGTCATTGCATAAATGAATGAATATAAATAAAGACATGAAGGCTAAAGTAAGATATGTACATTTGGAGGAGTGCACGAAAGCATTTTATGGCTTCATTTCATGAGTTGCTTTCCTTCAACGTTCAACTAGATGATGACTATAGATGCCACGAGTTCTCACCTTTGTTATGTTATTCCACTTTTCGCATGTGATTGGGACGTCATGTTTAATCTGACATATTATTTCGAACAGGGAGACTTTCTGCTGGGTTCTGTATTTCCAGATCGATGCAATCTACGTATAAAATAATGGGCTTATTGGCCGTATAGTAACAAAACGCTGTAAATATAATATCCTCATATTACGATAGATATATTTCACTATGTATGTTGTCCAAGAAGACAAAAAGAACTCGATTCTAAAGAATTTGGGCTAACATAAATGTTAGCACAAAACCTGCTCTAAACACTATTTCACGAGATAAAGCATGTTCTCATACCACGGCAGTACTTTTAGGCGAAAGTGTATCTATGTATATATGAAAGTATCTTTCTCATCCACATTTTTGCATCTATAAGGTAAGACATAAAAGCAAAAAACACAAACAAGTTAAAAACCCTCATATTTTAATCAGAAACATCTAAGATATAAAAACGTATCTAACTGCTATGATAAGTTACCTTATCGCTTACGTAAATGTTCAATGCTTTTATTAGTCTTACACCACGAAAGTTTGATTAAATAAAATAATTCTTAGAAAATAAACAAAAATAAAACACTCCACTACTACCTACTCCTCCCTCCTACCCATTAGCTCATTTTCCGTAATAAGGATTTTTTTCAATTTCTTTCGTATCTGTTTGTGATACATGTTATGCACATATTGCGAAACGCGGGAAATCCAAAATCCGTTACCCATCAAACCGAACTCGTAACGAGGAACCCTCGAGGTACTAGATTCTACGAACACCTACCCACAAATTAAAAAGTATTGCAAACGACGAAATGTTATCCGACTGAAACTTCTTTTATTGGATAATGAAAATTGTGACATTCATATACGTATATCTATAAAATATATATATATTACTGTATTTGACAGTGCGCAAGTAGATAAAGTCGATGTCTTAAGATGCCGACCCCCTAGCCGACCTTTTAGTTGTGAGAGCCTTCTTACACATTCAACAGAAAAGTGTAAAGGTTTTTGGTTGTAATTTGTATTTATGTAATGTAATTAAAGATCAACATGACTTAGAAAGTTTTTGAAAACATCGTTGACTAGTGATGCAATAAAGAAGTCATAACAAAATGTATTTTACGGCTCACTGGTCAACGGTGAAGTTTGTTTAACACTTTAGTTCGCAATCATCTCCTCAAAACCAAATAGACGGGTAGGGGTCAGGTATTTTATGGTACATATTAAAATTTAATAAATTATTATATTTTCAATACATATCGACATTGACTAACATCTTTCTTTATTAGGTACTTCTATATTTACTATTATTTTTCTTTAGGATAAAAAATTATTGAGTCAGCTGTGACCATGAAACACGGCCCGAAACGTTGGCTTGTTTGAAAAAACAAATATACCTAAACGATTTAGATCCGAAAAAATACATTCATTTCCAATGTGTAATTATCGCAAAAACCTAAGAACTCGATTCCTGTTTCTTGTTATGATGAATTGTTACATAGTAGACGAGCATCAAAAAACAATGCCAATTCATTCTTGTCGTAAACAAACCGTTCCCCATCATTATAGTTAAGTGCTTCACATATTCTGCAATAGTGATATGACTTGGTTCCAAAATAGCCATGCTCGTTGACAACTGCAAAGTGTTGTCTCCATGCATGATAATGTAGTAACTTCTCGTAACTAGATGCTATTTCATCTATTGTGTCTGCAAACACTTTAGAACTTTCAAATTTGTCAAAGTGAATAAAAGAATTTGGAGGCAGAAGTTTCTCGCAGTCTTCTATAGAGGGTCCTATTATAATGGGAATAGCACCTTTTTCATAGGCATTAAAGAACACTTTTTCCGTTAAATATTGCCTGCAAGATGCATTCTCGAATGCTAGATAAAAATAGTACTTGTCTATAGAAGGACAATCTTGTTTAAAGTGACCGGGACATCTGAAATAAGCGTTGCAATTAGTAGACATTTATAAATAGAATTATATATTATTCATATATAAAAATAATCTTATTCTTGACTCATGTAGAATTGCAATAAATATGAATTAATTATAAAAACCTAACATATTGTGTAATGTCCTCACCTATGAATTTTGATTTCAGTTTAATATTAAAGGCACTTTAAAATTAATTTTCAACTTTTGTACCTTTACATAAATAGGCGTCAGACGTCGAGTTACGGATAGCCAGCTCAACATACCACACCGTTCACACACAAACACGTAAACTTAAGTAAAACGAGGGTAATGTTATATATCAAGTTGATCAAGTATTCATATTTTGTACTACAATAATACTTACGAATGTTTAAATATCGTCCCGCATTTCCCATACACGTCGATGGCCAAGAAATTCTGAATTTCGTCCAACTGTTTCATTCTCGACTTATAACAATTGGATATTAAGATTGCAGTGGTAACATCAGCTTGCTTTTTTCTAAAGTTTGGCACCAAAGTTAGTAAAGCCACGTACGGATCATTACTGACGTGAATTGGAGTGGCCAAAGGTACTGTCCTGCCACTAGGCACGGGAATATTAGAATCGCTCCTGTAAATTTAACACTTCTAGCCTATTAAGAGGAAAAATATTTTATTTTAAAAATATTTTATTTATTATTTGTATTTTATGTTTTATTTGGAAATAAAACTAATTATATATGTAATGTGGAGTTTCATAACGAACTACGACATAAACGCAGACACATAATATATCGAGCTTTAGAAAAAGACGATGCGCTGATTTCGACTTTGTGGAGAGTTGTCTCCGTCAAGGGCCAGGACTCATATTATTTGTGTGACTTTTGCAAATCTCAAATCTGAAGTTAGCCAATTATTATTGTGATCGATTGTCTTTTTCTACAACTCGATGTGTTATATTTAGGGCTTGTGCTAAGGTTTTTTTAAAATATTTCTCTAGGATTTACCATTAAAAAAAATACTACCAAAACTATAAGATACTTAATACTCCATTACTACCTCTATATACTATTTCAAATTTTATTATTTTCAGCATCTTGATGTAAGTAGTTAGTTAGCCATTACTGTTAAGATACGTATTGCAAACTTGGTATCTAAAATCATTCCCAAGGAGCACAAATTTATACCTAAAAAAATGCTGAAGGATATGTACCAGAATCTCATTCGATTATCAGTCTAAAAAATGAAAAGGTCCCTCAAGATATATCTAAGAATACTAGTAAATACTATATACTAAACGTGGTCACAACTTTTTCAAACTACAGTCGTCGCAATTTTAAAACTACCTAAAGCGTTACAAACTTAAGACTAAATAATTTTTAATATAAATAGATTTTAAGTTTAATGGCATACAATTTATACTTTATTGCAACATGCCGAAAGTAATTATTCCTAGCTTTTTCAGACAATTGTTTATCGTTTGTAGGGCACAAATGAACATGCGGATATAAATACACCGTGAAAGCTAATGGAAAACCTTTCTTAAAACTAATACACTTAAATTGGATACATTTCTATTGTCTATTTCAGAGCTTTAAATCGCAAAGATCTGAGGGGCACTGCCACTGCGCCTGACACCCTGAGACATAAGTACCAAGTGCCTGGAATTTCTAGTACCCTTACCCTTCAAAACCGGAACACAGTAATGTTAACATTGCTGCTTGGCGGTAGAAATAGGTAAGGTAGCAGTTACCTGGACGAACTCTTTCACAAGGAGCTCTACTGCTACTAAACTGTTACTCTACGCACATTTATATACTGTTATAATTATTGTTGAATGGTCGTAACTACAAATAAGATATTTATTTTGGAGAATTTAAATCACGTAAAATATATTCAATTGCTTCAGACACTGACGTGAGCAGAGATAAAAAAAAGATAGAACATAGACAAAAAGTAAACTATTAGTGCTGTTCCATCACTCCTCCTCACTAAGGGTCGAGGCCAAGGTTCTTAATATTCTTTATTAGACTGGGAACATATCAGCTTCTAATTCATCGGTTCTTTTATATTGCAGCTTAATGAAACCTTCAGACACCTTTTCTTTAATAAAGTGTCTTCTTATTTGAATATGTTTCGAATGTTTGTCCACAATCGGATTTCTTGCTAACTGTTGTGCTGCCTGATTGTCATTATATAAGACCATGACCTTTTGATTAATTCCAAGATCTTCACACAATTGTAGCAAGTACATGGCTTCCTTAGCTGCTTCGGTCAATGCCATATATTCACTCTCTGCGGTTGAGAGAGCCACAGTTCGTTGTTTCTTAGATTCCCAGCTTACAATACCACTGGCATATGTAAAACAGTACCCACTATATGATCTACGGTCAATTTCACACGTAGCCCAGTTGACATCTGAGAAACCTTCTATTGGCTTCTGTGCTCTCCTGTAGGTGATACCCATTTCTATGGTTCCTTTCAAATATCGAAGAATCCTTTTTAAACTTTTATAGTGTTCTTCAGTATAACAATTGTTGAACTGACTCATATAGGATACTGCGTAGGAGATATCTGGCCTTGTGGCCACTGCCAAATACATTAGACCTCCAATCAAGTTTTGGTACGGATAATCATTGGTATTTGTTTGTGCTCTAGCTGGACCCTTTAAAAACTTTGTGCCAGGTTCCATTGGAGTTTTTGACGGCTTGCAGTCTTCCATGCCATAGGTTTTAAGTAGTTTTTTGATATATGTAGATTGCGACATTTTTAATGTGTTTTCAAGTTTATTATATTCAATTTTTATGCCCAATATTTGATCTACTTTAAGTTCTCTCATACAAAACGTTTTTAACAACCTTTGTTTAACGTCATTCCATTTATTACCTTTAAAAGTAACAATAATGTCATCAACGTATATAGCGATGTTAATAATATCTTCCTCTCTCCCTTTCACATTAAGTCTATATACGCAGGGATCAGCATAGGATGGGAAGAAATTCAAAGCTTTTAAAGTACTGTCAAGTTTTTCAAACCATTGTCTTGGCGCTTGTTTTAAGCCATACAGCGCTTTCTGTAAAAGGCATACTTTAGGCTTTTTTATATTATTTTTTAAATCTTGTAGCATAATCCTTGCTGCTTCCGATTGTTCTTCGTCATATTGTATTATCTCGCATAGGATTTTTTGCATATGATCAGGTATTTTCATATAGATTTTTTCATGCAAGTCTCCATTCAGAAATGCAGTTGTGACATCTAACATTTCTATATTTAAGTTATTTTCAATAGCATTTGCCATTACCATTCTAATAGAGCTTAATTTTGATACAGGTGAATAAGTTTCATCGAAATCGATCCCAGGCATTTGGTTAAAACCTCTAGCTACGAATCTAGCTTTTAATCGTTCGACTTTTCCATCAGCTGCGTATTTTTCTATTAATATTATTTTGTTAGTTACTATGTTCATACCTTCTTCTTTATCTATAATTTTCCATGTTCCATTTTTCAGGTGAGCTTTGAACTCTGCTTTTATAGCTTCATGCCATTTAGAGTCTGATTCGTCTTTATCCGAATCACATAGGTAAGCATAATCATTCTCATTATCATTTACAATTTCATCAGTAAAAAAAGACTATGTAATGAAAACTCATTACATAGTCTTTGGACCAAATAGGTAATTTCTTTATTCTTTCAGAACTTTGACGAGGCTCTATTCCATCAACAGCGTTTTCAGCAAGAGAAGTGTGGGTTTCAACCTCACTATCATTATCAGACTCAGTATTTACCTGAGTATTGCTCATATCAAGAGAAACATTCCTTGCCGGGTTGCTGTCCGGAACGAACACGTCAATAAAGTTTTGTTCATCAATATTCTGTTCCTTATTTGTAGAGTCTTCAGTTGCAAAATACATTTTATTTACAATACGTACATCTCTGCTAATTACAACATTATCTGTCTTGGGTAGATAAATCAGATAGGCTTTTGATTGCTCTGAATATCCTGCAAACATACCTACAGATGCTTTTGGTTCAAATTTAGTTATGTATCGCTTATTCAGTACAAAGGCTTTTTGACCAAATATGTGTAGATGTAACCCAGAAGGGACACGACCGACCCATTTTTCAAAAGGTGTGTCATTATTAATACTTTTATTTATGCATCTATTTGATAGGTAATTTGCGGTGTAAATAGCTTGACCCCATAGTTTCTCAGGTGCTTTTGACTCTATTAACATAGTTCTAGCTTTTTCTTGTAAGTTTCTATTTTTCCTTTCTGCTAGACCATTTTGTTCACAGGTGTAGGGGCAGGATAATCGCCTCCTTATTCCATTTTGATTAAGGTAATTTTGAAAGTCTTCATTTAGATATTCTTTACCATTGTCAGTTTGTAGGCATTTTATTTTTAAATCAAGCACATTTTCCATTTCTTCTTTGTATATCTTAAAGCATTTTAGAGCTTCATTCTTTTGTTTCATGAAGTAAACACGAGAGTACCTCGAGAAATCATCAATAAACGTTATGAAATATTTATTTCCTGCATGCGTTGGTACTCGCATTGGACCACATAAATCGCTGTGAACAATTTGTAACGGTTTATTAGTTTTAGGTTCAGAAGCTGATTTATACGTTGTTTTAGTCATCTTCCCTTTAATACAGGCTTCACATTCTTCTAACTTATCATTTTTATTGAACGCCATGCCTTGAACCTTATTATTTTTTAGTGCTAATTTCAAATCTTGCTCATTCACATGTCCTAGCTTTTGATGCCACTCCATAATATTATTACAATATGAAGAGTTGACTTGTGCTTTTACATGTCTTGGCGTTATATAATATAAACCATCTTCACGATTAAACGCTCTCATTGTTATCTTTCCTTTTGTATTCTTTACTGTGGCCACTTTGTCTCGGAATAAAATGGTATTTCCATAACTTGTACTTTTTCCAACTGACATTAAGTTAGTATTTAGGCTTGGTACATATAGAGAATTAAACAAATTGTGTCCTGATTCTGGTACCTTGAAAGTGACCGTGCCTTTTCCTTTTATTTCTGTGTAAAAGTTATCTGAGGCTAGGCTGATATTTTGTTTAATTTCTTGCATATCATGCAGATAATCTCTGTTTTTGGTCATGTGTGACGTACAACCACTGTCAAGAACCCATTCATCTTCTTCAATAATTTTGTTGTTAAGTGAAGATAGACACTTTTCATTGGCTAGATTTGCCGAGTTGTTGTTATTTTTATAGCCTTTATTATTACGTGTTGCATTTTTATTTTGGGACGTACTTGGTTTGTTGTAACAATCTGTAATTGTGTGCCCTCCTTTTTTGCAATAAGTGCAAAACTTGAACTTACGCTTTTCTTTGTTTTGGCCATAAAAGGCTTCTTGCTGTACATTAACTGTATTTTCGCTTGCA